GCGGAGAAGCAGGGCATCGACATGAAGCAGGAGATGGAGCAGAGGTGAGGCGGGCCGGGCTCCTGCCGCCCACGCTGACCCCCACAGCCCATCCCTCTGTCCGCGAACTCTCACCCCGCCACCCACCACTCACCCTGGCCCACCACCACACTCACACCTGCTGCCTGCCACCACCCCTGCCCCACCACCCCACTCACCCTGCTGCCTCCACTCACCTGCCGCCCCCCCAATTCCACCCACACTCACCCCACTCACCCTGGCCGCCCACCACCCCTGCCCCATCACTCACTCACCTGCCCCATCACTCGCACCTCACCCCTGGCCCCAACCACCCCACGTCATCCTGCTGCCTCCAACTCACCCTGCCCCCCACCCCCATCTCACCCTGGCTGCCTCACTCACCCTGCCCTCCACCCCCACTCACCCTGCCGCCCCCACTCACCCTGTCCACCCCACTCACTCCTGCCCAATCACGCCCACTCCCCCTGCCCCACCAGCCCACTCTTCACCCTGCCGCCCCCAGTCAGCCCTCGCACACCACCCACTCACCCTGCCGCCCCCACTCACCCCTGCCCCACCACCCAATCACCCTGGCCGCCCATCACCCTGCCCACCCCCACTCCCCTCTGCCCCTATCACCCCCACTCACCCCGCCACCCCCCTGCAGGCTCCAGGAGCTGGAGGACCAGTACCGCCGGGAGCGGGAGGACGGGCCCACTCAGTCACTGCTGGAGCAGCAGAGGCTGGTGAGGACTCCGGCCCCCCAGTTGGGTCCCATCTGCCATTCCACCCTAATCTGGAGTCCTAACCTGTGCCCCGTCACTGGGATCCCACCCCTGGCCCCCTTCACTCCCTCACTGGGTCCCACCTAGCCCCCCCCACTGGGTCCCACCTGTCCCACCCACTGGATCCCACCTGTCCCACCCACTGGATCCCACCAGTCCCCCTCACTGGATCCCACCAGTCCCCCTCACTGGATCCCACCTGTCCCCCTCACTGGATCCCACCAGTCCCCTTCACTGGATCTCACCAGTCCCCTTCACTGGATCTCACCAGTCCCACCCACTGGATTCCACCTGTCCCACCCACTGGATTCCACTTGTCCCCCTCACTGGATCCCACCAGTCCCCCTCACTGGATCCCACCTGTCCCCCTCACTGGATCCCACCTGTCCCACCCACTGGATCCCACCTGTCCCACCCACTGGATCCTACCAGTCCCCCTCACTGGATCCCACCAGTCCCCCTCACTGGATCCCACCAGTCCCCCTCACTGGATCCCATCTGTCCCACCCACTGGATCCCACCTGTCCCACCCACTGGATTCCACCTGTCCCACCCACTGGATTCCACCTGCCCCACCCACTGGGTCCCACCTGCCCCCCCATTAGGTCCTACCTGCCCCACCCACTAGGTCCTACCTAACTCCCCCCTACTGGGTCCCACCGGCTCCACCTACTGGGTCCCACCTGCCCCCTCTTCCTACCTGGCCCCACCCACTAGGTCCCACCGGCCCCCCCATGCCTCCATTTCTGCCCACCTGGCGCCATCTCTTGGCCCGCTTGGGGGGTGTGCTGAGGCTGCGTCCCGGGGCAGCGGAGAAGCCCAGGCAGGGGGCTGTAGGGTGCCGCGCTGCCCGTGGGGACCTGCAGGCCTTGCTTCTCCACAGGACTACGAGAGCAAGCTGGAGGCTTTGCAGAAGCAGATGGACTCCAGGTACTACTCGGAGGTGAACGAGGAGGAGGAGGAGCCGGAGGACGAAGGTGAGTCCCCTGAGCCTGCAGGTGGCAGGGCCTGGGAGAGGGGGAGCCCTGGGCCCTGCCCTGGAGATCAGCCAGCCGCGCCTTGCCCGGGGTCTGGGCCGGTCCCCCAGCTCCTGGGGTCTGGGGAAGGCTGCCCTGCAGCAGGCACACGTGCACGGACACACACGTGCACATACCATGTGCATATCCTGTGCATACGTGTGTGCAGTACGTGTTGGCTCTGATAGGAGCGTGGGAAGATGGGGCTGGTGCTGGCCAGGGCTCCCCACGCCCACGTGTGTCCACTGGCCCCTGTCCTGCCGGCGCATGGCTCGTGGGTCCCTGAGGCCAGGTCCACTGCACACCTCACGCCGGGACCCCCTTGTCACATGAGGGAGGCCCCCAGGCAGGGCAGGTGGGTGTAGCCGGGGACAGGGGTTCACCGCCATCTCAGCGCTGGCCAGGTGGTTAGCACCTGTGTGCTGGTGTGACCCTGGTCCCGCCCCTTGCCAGGCCCCGTCTACCCCGCAAAGCTTCTTCCCATGCACGCAGTGCTCAGGCTCCGGGCTGGGCTGGAAGCCCAGGGCATCAGTGCTTGGTGCACGGACAGCCTTTCCAGTGTCCCTGCCGGTCCTTCCCTGGGGGGCCCGGTGGACAGGGCGTGTGGGTGAGGAGAGTGCTCCACCTGGGAGCACCTGACCTGCCCACCTGCCTCCTCTCCCGTGGGTCCGGACACTGGCCCCAGAGGGTGCGTGTGGCTGCCATTGGCGGTGCTGCCCCAACCGCTCTGACCTTCAGCCTGACTCTCGGTGACGCCCCTGCACGGGGAGCCGACGGCCTCTCTGCTTTGGGGCATGTGGTGCTTTCCATGCTGCTGGCTGTGGCAGACCCTCTGCCAGGTTTTCCTTCTGTGCACCCAGAGTGGCTAGTTGGGGAGCAGAGCTGGGGGACCCCGGCCCAGGCCAGAGCAGAGGGAGCCTGGGGGAGAGGGGCCCGGACCCCACCCTCCCGCCGCGCCGGCCAGTGACCACGGGAGTCACCTTTCAGCCCTGACCTTCCACGCAGTGACCCGTGTGCGCCAGGCACAGGCTCCGCCTGGCTGCCCCACGGAGTGGCCCCCGGCTGACCCTCCAGAGGGCGGGTGTGGGGCAGGGTCACGGCCTTCCCACGGTGACCACGCGGCCTCTCCCCCAGTGCCCTGGACGGAGCGGGAGTGTGAGCTGGCGCTGTGGGCCTTCCGGAAGTGGAAGTGGTACCAGTTCACGTCCCTGCGCGACCTGCTGTGGGGCAACGCCATCTTCCTCAAGGAGGCCAACGCCATCAGCGTGGAGCTCAAGAAGAAGGTGGGTGCCCTCTGGCTGCGCCGTCTCGCCCCGTCGGAGAGAGGGACGGTGTGACAGGGACAGCCAGGACTCGGAGCCCGGCCCCCTGCCAGCCCTGGGGTGGGCAGAGGGGCCCCGCCTGGCCTGGGCCCCCAGGAGGGTGGGCAGGTGAGGGAGGCCCAGGACTGGCCCAGGTGCGTGCCTCTCCCTTCCTGCTCCACAGGGATGGCGGGCAGGTGGGCAAGTGGGTGGGCAGGCGGGCAAGCAGGAAGGTGGGCAGGTGGGGCAGGTGGGCAGGTGGGGACCAGGTGGGCAGGCGGGCAGGAAGACAGGCAGGTGGGCAGGCAGACAGGCAGGTAGGCGGGCAGGTGGGCAGGTGGGGACCAGGTGGGCAGGTGGGCAGGTTGGCAGGTTGGGCCATCTCCAGGGGCAGGTTGCAAGGTCCCAGGTGAGCAGGCGGGCAGGTTGGCAGGCGGGCAGGCAGGCAGGTGGGCAGGCAGGTAGGCAGGCAGGTGGGCAGGTGGGCAGGCAAACAGGCAGGCAGGCGTGCAGGTGGGCAGGTGGGGACCAAATGGGCAGGCGGGCGGGTTGGGCCATCTCCAGGGGCAGGTTGCAAGGTCCCAGGTAGCACTGCGGGCCATGCAGCCGAGGTCTCCGGAGGTGGAGGGCAGCCCTTTCAGGGCCGGGCCTGCCCCCGAGGCTGACAGCGGCCGTCTCACGCCCACCGCAGGTCCAGTTCCAGTTTGTCCTCCTCACAGACACGCTCTACTCCCCTCTGCCGCCCGACCTGCTGCCCCCAGAGGCCGCCAAGGACCGGGAGACGCGGCCCTTCCCCCGCACCATCGTGGCGGTGGAGGTGCAGGACCAGAAGAACGGGGCCACTCACTACTGGACCCTGGAGAAGCTCAGGTGCGGCGGGAGGGCGGCTGGCTGGGCAGCACGCGGGGCCTTCCTCCCGCCCGATGCTCGGCCTCTGCCGCCTCCCACACGCTCACCGACTTGTCCTGGGCCTTAGACTGGGGGGGGTGTGGCTCAGGACCACTCGGGTCAGTGCCCCCGAGGGAGGGGAGGGACGTCACTCACAGCCGGGATGTACAGGCAGGGCCCAGGGCCAGTGGGGAGGCCACAGCCTTCACTGGCGTCTCCGTGGCAACGGCGAGGCACGCGGGGAGACTGCTGGTCTGGACAATCCCACAGGGCTCTGGGGCGTGGGGACCAGGCCTCCTCGTCTGGCGCCTGGGCCCTGGTGGTGCAGGGCAGGGGTGTGGCTGCCTGGTGTGCAAAGAATCAGAGAGAGGAGGTGCTGGGGGTATGCGCTCGGGATGGGACGGTTTGTGCATGAAGGGGGCCGTTCCAGTAACGGCCGTCTCTAGGAATCAGCTAGACTGGGAGGGGCTCTCCCCAGCCGGCGAGGCCCCCAGAGATGTCAAAACATTGTAAAATACAGAAAACAAAGAACACATTAATACATGCTCAATTGACATTCACACACTTTCTTACACCATTCATTCATGCATACCCTGACAGACATCAGTAGTTGCACACTCACACACACGTCCATGCAAACACAAAAACATGCATCCCTGGAAACACACAATCACATACATTTGTGCAAACAAACACATCCAACCAAACACACACACATCTGTGCAAACACATAAACATGCATCCAGGGAAATATACATCCACATACATCCATGCACACACACATTCATTCATGCAAACACACACACATCTGTTCAAACACATACACACATGCAAACACACACATCCAACATACACATTTGCTCAAACACACACATGCAAACACACACACACATCCAACACACACCTTTGCTCAAACACACACATGCAAACACACACATTTGCTCAAACACACACATGCAAACACTCACGTTCATGCAAACACACACGCACACATGTGCACGCACCCCCTTCCCCTCCCGTTCTCCCAGGCAGTGCCATCTGGCTTCGGGAGGGTGCGGACCCACTGTGTGCTGCACCCAAGCCCTCGAGGGCACCGTGACTGTTTCTTTCCTCTGCAACGTTTTGGCTTTCCTGGGAATGACAGTTTTCAGACACTTCTGGGCCTCCCATTCCCCGTCTGCCCGTTCTTCCTTGAGCTATCGGGGCCCACGCGGCGATGCCCTCTTCTGCGCTTCCCCTCCGCCAGCCCCCGGCCCGTCCTGCCTGCCCTGCTTTGCTGTCACTGGGGGGGGGCTGAGCGGTGAGCGTGCACCTTTAGTTGGCAGCGTCTCACCGTGGTTGAGAGACCACGAGGCCTAGGGCCACGAAGGGGTTTCTGTTCCACAGACCCCGTGAGCCTCGATGCCCCTGAGCAGGGTGCTGGGCCGGAGCCGGCCGCGGGGGAGCAGGTGTGTGGTGCCGGCCGATGGCCCCGGCCTGAGCCCACACCGCCCTGCCGCCCTGCAGGCAGCGCCTGGACCTGATGCGGGAGATGTACGACCGGGCCGCGGAGGTGCCTTCCAGCGTCATCGAGGACTGTGACAATGTGGTGACCGGCGGGGACCCCTTCTACGACCGCTTCCCCTGGTTCCGGCTGGTGGGCAGGTGGGCGCCTCCTCCCTTCCCCGGCAGAGAACGTGAGCGGGAAAGAGGCGGCGGAGGGCGGGTTTGGGCCTCCCCCCAAGGCCTGGCCCCCACGGCCCTGGCCCCCCGCAGGAAGAGGCGCCTCGAGGGGCCCTCTCCCGTCCCCAGACCCCTGCCCCGTGCCCCCCGCCCCCCGGCCGAGGCTCCTCCACCCCTGCAGGCCCTGTTATTTCAGGGGACCTGGGCGGGGGCTGGGCACTGCCGCCCACACCCACTGCAGCCCAGGGTCCACGAGGGTGAACGTGGGGGCTCCAGGTCACCTGGTGGCCTGGGGGACGGGAGTCACCTGAGCCTCCTGCCCGCCCCCGTCGGGGGTCTGCCTCCAGCCCCTGCACCCCGCCGTGCGGCCGTGGCGCTCCGAGGCCTCCACGTGGCCAAGCTCACCAGGTCCTCACCGGGCCTCAGCCACGCCTGGCCGGGAACACCCCTGTTCTCAGTGCCACCCGCAGGCGTGTTCCGGAACCTTCCTGCACACGTGGTTTCTTTCCAAGCCAGGGGGGACGGGGTGCATTTTCGGTTCTCTTGTCTTTTGAAGCAGCGTTCTTGACGGTCTGTGTGTCTGGTTTTGGTTTTGGACAGAAGCCCCCCGCCCCGCCCCGCCCCGCCCCGCCCCCGTCGGTCCCCGCGAGCAGCTGGTGTTAACTTCTCTCTGTCTTGTCGCACTAACCTCAGTTCAGTCATCTCTGGCTGCAACAGCTACCCTCTTCTCAACACATGCATGAGCGAGCGCATGGCTGCTCTCACCCCCTCCCCCACCTTCTCGAGCCCCGACTCCGAAGCCACCGAGCCTGCCGAGGAGCAGAGCGTGGGGGAGGAGGAGGAGGAGGAGGAGGAGGAGGACCTGGAGGACGACGTCTTTCCGGAGCACGTGCTGTGCGACGGCCGGGACCCGTTTTACGACCGGCCCCCCCTGTTCAGTTTAGTAGGAAGGTTGGTGAGGTCGAGGCGCATGCTGGGAGGAGCCAGCTCTTTTGCGCAGGAGACTGCTGGGGCACAGGCGCCGCCCCGGGCGAGGCAGGCGGAGGGGCTGGCCTGGGGCGCCCGGGCCCCCCGCGTCCCGGTGGGGAGACCCCGGGTCCCCGCTACAGGCGAGCAGTGCGGCAAGGCGTCCAGCGTGGCCCCGGCAGGTGGGACTGTATCCACAGAGAGGCCGCAGGGACCCGGGAGTGGTGCCGGCTCAGGCTCCCGCCCCCCAGTCCCCCCCGTAAGAGTCCGAGGGGCGTCTGGAAGGTGAGAGCCGGCCGCCCCCAGCTGGTGCCGTGCTCCCCCCTGGGTCCCCCCGTCCTGGCCAAGCCGCCGCTGTCCAGAGGGGACGGAGGCTCCCAGGCGGCTCCCAGAGCCGTCCCCTCTGTGGGGAAGGGCCTCCCGTGGGAAGTGGAGGCTGCTGCTCCCCCCCACCTCCCTCCGAAGCCACGGGGGCTGCCCAGGCCACGCCTGTCTAAAGGGAGGACGTCTCCGTCCCTCCCGACCTCCAGGGCGGCCACGGCCGGACGTGGCCCGGGTCTGCGCCCTTTGCAGGGAGGAGCAGGTTATCAGGTCCCTGGATATGCAAGACAGGCCACGGTCCGTCAGGAGGTGGGGTGGAGGCCCAGGCCCAGGGAGCCCCGTAGGCCGGCAAACTTCCTATCGTGGAAAGGAAGTGAGGTGAAGGAAAGATCTGGAAACCCAGTAGGAGGAAATTCAGCTCATGCAGTAGCCAAATTTACTTATTTTACATTTATAAAAGACAGAAGATATTTTAATAGCAACCCTTTTTTGGAGTTTGAGACGGCGTCCGTGGGCCAGGCCAGTGGACGTTTTCGCAAGTCTGGAGCCTGGAGACCAGTTCTGGGAGCCAGAGGCTGAGGGCAGCCACAGGTAACCCAGAACGTTTGGCCAGTTCACCTGCCCTGGGGTGGAGATGGCGGCACGGAGCCCCCCTCCCTCCTGGGAGACAGCAGGTCCCACGGGCCCGTGCCGCGGATTTATTCCAACTTGGTTTCCACGCGTGATACTAGGCCGACACTTGGTGAGCTAAGCTGGCCTAACGGATGAGGACTGGTGGCGCGCTCTCTCTCCGAGATGCCCCGGGCTGTGCTTCCTGCTCTGCTGGGCCCTGGAGGGGTGAAGACCCCCAAGGCCAGCCTCGCAAGGCCTCTCTCAGAAAGCCCTGGCTCCTAGCACTCTGGGAAGCCGAGGCAGGAGGATTGCTCAAGGTCAGGAGTTCGAAACCAGCCTGAGCAAGAGTGAGACCCCGTCTCTACTAAAAATACAAAGAAGTTAATTGGCTAACTAAAAATATATAGAAAAAAATTAGCCGGGCCTGGTGGCACATGCCTGTAGTCCCAGCTACTTGGGAGGCTGAGGCAGGAAGATGGTTTGAGCCCAGGAGTTTGAGGTTTCTGTGAGCTAGGTTGATGTCATAGCACTCTAGCCCGGGCAAGAGAGTGAGACTCTGTCTCAAAGTAAAAAAAAGAAAGCCCTGGCTGTAGGGCCAGGCCCCAGCTAGGCCCCAGGGGTGGCCCCGGATGTCAGGTGGGCGGGGGACCAGGACAGGCAGGGGACAAGGCCGTTGGGAGAAATGGGGGCGTGGGCTCTTGCAGTCTCAGCCAGAAAGAGCTGGGTCCTTCCCACATCTTTTACCCTTTTGTGGATTTGAGATTTTACAAAACTGCCAGACCAAAGTGACCAAAGCAAGGCCCGGCCCTGAGTCCCGGGCGGTCCGTGGGGGCTTCGCCGGGAGTCATCCCAGTCTTTTCCTTTCGGCAAGAACCGGCTTCCCCCGCGCCGCGGCTGTGCAGGCCCAGGCCCGACCCGGGCCCCGTTGATTTTTCTTTTATCCTTCTGGTGGCCGCTGGCTCTTTCTCCAAAGCTTCGGCGAGACAGGGGCGCCCACTCGCCCCTCTGGAAAGGCTTCCCTGGGTCCCAGCATGCGTCTTTGCACCTCACCAACCTGTGGTTAGCGCCTGCCTCCTCCCTCCCGCCGCCACACCTGCCTCCTCTCTCCCGCCTGCCACACGCAGCCCAGCCCTCGCTCTGTCTGTTCAGCCGCCTCCTCTCCTCTTGGGGACAGTTTCAGCCTGCTTCACGGTCCCTCGAGTCCGGCGCCACCTCCCACGTCCCAAGCCAGGGGCCCCTCACCCAAAGCCTGCGACAGCCCTGGGGGTGCGGGGGGCTCTGGTGATCAGGCACCAGGCAGACGAGGGAGGCAGGTGGGTTGCCCAGACCTGGGGGCTCTGGTTTCCCCTGGCTAGTCCTCCCCTCCTGGGCTGGACACTTTACGGAAGGTGGGTGGTGCAGAAGAGGGCGAGCTCAGGAGCTGCAGAGAGAGCGGGGCTGGGGGCTCCCTGCCCGGGAGGAGGGTTCTGGGGGTGGGAAGGGACAGGAGGCGACAGCCCGCGGGCCGTGTCCAGGACCCATGGATAAAGGCTTCCCGGGCACGAGGGCTGCACTCAGGGTGGGCTCTGTGCCCCCCAGGGGTGTTGAGGCTCCCCGGCTCCCACTGTGGGCCTTGGCCGCCCGGCACCAGTCTGTGCAGAGTGGCCGCGGACAGCGCTTCTCAGCCCGCAGGTCCCGAGAGCTGCGCTGTGTGTGGTGGGCGTGGTGTGGGCATGGCTGAGGCAGAGGCGGAGGTCAGGCTGGACTGTGCTCTGGCCCAGGGTGGGGGCACTGGTGTCAGGTTGTCTCTGGCACCTGGAGGGCAGGTGGGGGCCCAGCCTTCCCCGGAACATGAGGTTGGAGGCCCAGGGAACTGTCCCCGCTGGGCAGAGGCAAGAGGCTCCGTGGTGCAGGGCCTGGGCTCTGCCTGACCCCCTCATGCCCTGGATGCATTGCCTGGGGGTGGGGGTCAGGCGTCTTACAGGCCCAGATCGCAGCCCCCTCGAGGCTGGTGCTGCCACGGCAGGCTGGGGGGATGCTGGGCACCGGGGGTCTCTGGCAGGGCGAATCTGCCACTGTTGCCAGTGACTGGCATGGGCCAGCGAGGCCTCCCCCGTCTGCTCGGGCAGCCAGCGCCAGCTGTAGCTAGATCCACGTTCTCCCGCCCAGGTGTCCTGGGGGCCGAGGACACCTGCCCACAGCAGGTCATGAGGCTCGGAGAAGTGGGGGAGTGTCTTGACCCCGACCCTGGGGTCATTCCCATCGTATACCCCCCGAACCCCAGCCAGGAGGCCCCTTGAGGGCCCCGGCCCGAGTGGTTTCTGCCCCTGGAGCAGAGTGTGGGCGGCGTCTTGGCCCACGTCTGAAGGAGGTCGGCGTCTCCCACGCGGCACGTGGTTTCCTTTCTGCTCTGACGTGAGGAACTTCTGAAGGACCACGGAAGAACTGATCTACTTACTTGATTAAGCTGTGCGAGTGAGGCAGGCGGCCAGTGGAGCTCAGCGTCCACACGGGTGGGGTTGGGTTGGAGCCAGCCCGCAGGTCCAAGTCCCGGCGTGGGCCCTGGCAACGTTCTTAATCTCCGTGTGCCTCAGTTTTTACACCTGTGAAATGGGGCACGACCCATATTTCATCAGCCCTAACACGCCACCTTAGTGCTGGGTCTGTTTTGTGTGTCCCTAAGACAGAGGGATGCAGCCAGCTGGACTAAGATGTGCTATTCACGGGACAGGTCAGGTGCCTGGGACAGTGTCCCCACCTGGCCCACAGCAGGAGGTGGCAGGACACCTCCTCGGGGTCCCCCAGGGGCTCCCTGGAGGGTGGGGCGGGACAAGCTGTATCCAGGGCCCTCCCGGTCTTTGTCCCTCGAGCCTGGGCTTTCTGCAGTGGGTGCTGCTGCCCCCAGAAAGGGTGGGTGGGGTCGGAGGGCTGAGCTCAGCCCCACAGGTCTTCTTCACCTGGGAGGGTCAGAGCAGGGCTTGCACCTGCCTGGCAGCCCAAGCTCCCTGCACATTCCCTCTGGCCAGCACACCTGTGTCCAGGTCATGTTGGCCTCCTCTGTCCCACCTCCACTTCCAAGCAAAGGCCCCTGTGTGGGAGCCCAGGTGCCCTGGGGCGGGAAGGCCACCAGTGTGCCCATCCCAAGGGTGCTGGCTGGTTCCTGCCTGCTGGGCACCCTGTGGGAATGGGTAAGGGGCCTCACCGCCTGAGCCTCAGTTTCCTCTTGTGACTGGGGCGGGGCTGGCTTCCCCAGCACTCCTGCATCTAACCTTTGTGGGAGGCCGCGGCAGAGGAGCCCCAGCCTGCACCCCTGGGTCAGGAAGAGCTGCAGGGGCGTTGCAGCTGCCCTCCAGGGGGCCGAGGGTCTCCCAGGCTGCTCTTCGGAGCAGGGAAAGCCCTTTCCCCTCCCGAGGCCCTGCCGCAGCGAGGAGTGCGCAGAAAAGCAGGATGCCTTCGTCAGAAGAGGGACCCATGGTGTCAGGACAGAGAGCACAGGGGTGGGGGAGGCCTCAACAGGACTCTGGGACATGGCCGCAGGGGGCTGGGGGCTGAGAACTGAGAGCAAGGGGACTGTGTGCACGGGAGGAGCCGTCACGGCCGGGCACCTGGGGATGGAGGGGCCTGGGGGCGGCCGGGGTCGAGCTTGATGGGATGGGGAGGTGGCCCAGACCACCCAGGGCCCCGCGGGTGTGGATGCCCCTGCAGGGAGCGTGGACGTCACCAAGGGCTGGGGGTCCATGTGGCTGGTGCCCTGAGACCCTCCGGCTGCTGTAGGGGTCTTGGGGCGTGGCTGGTACCGGTGGACCCGCCGAAGGGGCGTCAGTGAGTCAGTGAGACTTTCGCCGCAGAGCTGGTGGATTTGGTTGGAAACTCACTGCCTGGGAGGTCAGCGTAGGGGGGAGAGAGAGCAGGGGCCCCCCTGAGAAACCACGGGGTGTCTGCAGCCAGCTGGGGCCTCACCCGCCCCTGAGGGCACCGCTCTGGGGTGAGGTGGCTCAGCTCTTGTGCGCACCTGAGGCCACAGAGCTGGGAGCACTGCCTGGAGTAGGGTGCTCCCTACCAGGGCACAGCTTGGGGGAGAGGTCTCACCCCAGAGTGAGCCGGATGGGGCAGGTGACCCACCTGTCTTCCCCACTCCACCCACGGTCCTGCCCCTGCACCAGTGCCCCCCTGGCCAGCAGATGGGGCTGCCCCTCCCCCCCAGCCATCCCACCTCCCTGGCCAAGACCCAACCTCCCTGCCCCTCCTCCCCCCCGCCCATTTATCTCCTGTCCTGCCAAATCCTGCTGTCCCACCCAGCTGTGCCTCCTCTAGGGCCTCCTCCACCTCCCGGGAGCTCAGGGCTGTGGCGTCTGCTCCTACGGGTGGGGCAGGGGTTGCCAGGTTAGCTCTGCCTGCAGGGGAGGCCAAGGCGGGTCCCCAGCTCAGGTCTGAGCTGAGCTCACCATGGTGTGGCTCACCTGCAGGGTCCGCCTCTTTGCTCCTGAGCAGTGGGGATAGTTTGCTGTCCGCCCACCTGGCTGGGTGGCATGGGGTCACCCGGGGTCCTCTCTGTCCTGTGGCTGCCCGTGTGGCCAGCACAGGGAATGCAGCTGCCACCCCGGTGACGGTGGCCTCTGTCCAGGCCTGCAGGGCTGAGCTGCCTGGAAAGCAGGGCTCTCGGTGCTTTGGGTCACTGATGGGCAGGCTGGACAGCACTGGGGTCCGGGGGTCCCCTGGGCACCGGGCTGGGGGTGCCCCGTCTGGGTGGACTCACCTTGGAGCCCCCTCTCGCCGAGGTTCTCTCTGTTCACGGACTCTCGTCCGGCTGTGGGGCCCGTGGGTGTCGGGGGCCACCGGGGGTGGGCAGGAGGCAGAGGGCTGCCGGCTGCCAGCACCAGCCTCAGGGCGGCAGCTCGGCGTGGTCTCGGTCCCCGGCCCCGAGCCCTTGGAGAAGCAGGCTGAACCTCCATCCCCGGCGTCCCCGGCCCTCCCAGCCGTGCTCTCTGCAGCTCCTCCTCCTCCTGTCTCCTTCGAGCCCCCGCCTGCCCCGCCCTGGCTGCTGGCGGCCCCTCCGCTTCGCAGCTCTGTGTCGTGTTGCAAGCCAGGCCGTGCCGTGTTGCAAGCCGGGCTGTGCCGTGTTGTAAGCCGGGCCATGCCGTGTTGCAAGCCGGGCCGCGCCGCACCGCCACTGCTCACGCATGCACAGGGCTGGCCCTGACCACGGCCTCTGTCCCCCAGGGCCTTCGTGTACCTGAGCAACCTGCTGTACCCCGTGCCCCTGGTGCACCGCGTGGCCATCGTCAGCGAGAAGGGCGAGGTGAAGGGCTTCCTCCGTGTGGCCGTCCAGGCCATCTCAGGTGCGCGGGCCGCGGGGGCCGCGGTGTGGGGGCCCGGGGCTGTCTCTCGCCTTCGCAAACAGAGGCCGGGCCGTGCCTGGCCCTCTGCTCTCCCTGGGGCCGGCCTGACCTGGTCCCCATCGTCTGGGCTGGGGCCATGCCTGGCCCTCCGCTCTCCCTGGGGCCGGCCTGACCTGGTCCCCACCATCAGGGCTGGGGCCGTGCCTGGCCCTCTGCTCTCCCTGGGGCCGGCCTGACCTGGTCCCCACCATCTGGGCTGGGGCTGTGCCTGGCCCTCCGCTCTCCCTGGGGCCAGCCTGACCTGGTCCCCACCATCTGGGCTGGGGCCGTGCCTGGCCCTCCGCTCTCCCTGGGGCCGGCCTGACCTGGTCCCCACCATCTGGGCTGGGGCTGTGCCTGGCCCTCCGCTCTCCCTGGGGCCAGCCTGACCTGGTCCCCACCATCTGGGCTGGGGCCGTGCCTGGCCCTCCGCTCTCCCTGGGGCCGGCCTGACCTGGTCCCCACCATCAGGGCTGGGGCCGTGCCTGGCCCTCCGCTCTCCCTGGGGCCGGCCTGACCTGGTCCCCACCATCTGGGCTGGGGCCGTGCCTGGCCCTCCGCTCTCCCTGGGGCCGGCCTGACCTGGTCCCCACCATCTGGGCTGGTGGCCGGCTCTGTTCCCCAAGTGGAGCCCAGAGGAGGCGTCTTCTGTGCCGACTCTCGGTTCTTGACTCGGGGACCCTCCTGGGTGGGCGGGGCCCCTCTGGGCTGTGCAGGCTGAGCCTGCTCTGGTGTGGGGTCCACAACAGCAGCCCCAGGTGGACCAGAGACCACCTGGCCCCTGCCCCTAGCCTCTGGCAGAGCAGGAGCTCCCTCCCTCCCGCTGCCTCTGCAGCAGGGAGATGTGCAGACTCCCGCCCTCCCCCCCCAGGGGATGCTGCAGCCCCTCCCTCCATGTGGCCTGAAGACGCAGGTCCCTGCCACGTGGGAGGTGGAGGCCTCTCACTGCCAGGCCCCTCGAGGGCCGGGACGTGCTGCCCCGGGGTGGGTTCAGAACGTCCCCGAGCCTCCAATTGCCACCTGCAGATGGGGTCCGGATGTTGCTTGCAAAAATGTGCTCAGGTCACTGCGGCCCCACAGGGACTAGACCCCGGGTATGGCCTGGGCCGACAGGCCCCACCCCCGCCTCTGCGGGAGCCATTGCTTGAGGAGGTGCACCCACCTGTCCGGGTCCTCTGTGCCCACCTTGCGCCGGTTCCCAGCCGGGGGCCTTCCTGGGTTGGGCCGAGAATCCCGAGGCCCCCACCCCCCTGCTGCCCCCATGAGAGTGCAGCTCGAGCCAGCCCTCAGCCCTGTGGGGACCGTTGCTGTCCCGGTGGGGGGAGCTTGGGCGTTTCCAGAGCCCGAGTTCAGGCTCTGTGCAAAGGTTCCCTTCTAGGGCCACCGCCCGGGCCCCAGGGACCAAGGGGGCCCACTTCTCAAAGGAAGCCTTCACTCAGGAAGGGGCACAGCAGCTCCGAGCCCAGGACCACAGCCCTGCCGTCCCCAGGTCACGGACGGGGAAACCAGGCTGGACCGTCCCTGGGATGTGGCCAAACCTGGGCTGGTCCCAGGCCTCCTGCTAAGAGCCTACAGCTAGATCGTTTCACCTGGGAGGACACCTGGTGACTCCCGCCCCGTGGCTGTGGTCACAGAGGAGGGAACTTGGAGAAGCCACCGACCCTGTGTTGGTGTCCGCAGAAGTCACACCTGCCATGGCCTGACGTGGGTTGCGGCCAGTGGGTCTGCCCTTGGCGCAGGCGGGCAGCCATGGCCAGCTTGGGCTGCGGCAGGCAGAGCCCCGGGGCCTGGGGCAGCCGGTCCGCTGGGACTTGAAGGCAGGGGTGCATGTGGTGTGGTTGGGGTCTGGATGGGAGGCAGTGGTGGCTTCGAAGCCACTGAGGTCCTGGCGGTGACGCCAGCGGGGGCACGGTGGGCACAGCGAGGTTGGGGTGGGCTGTCGGTGCCGCTCGAGCAGCTGGGGTCTGAGGCTCCCGCCCGGGGGCCGAGGCGGGCCGGGACTTGTGCCAGCGTCCCGGCTGTCACTGAGCCGCAGCCGGCGGTGTCGGCTGCCCTGGCTGGCCAGGCGGGCTGGGAGCGTTCTGTGCTCTCACCCCGACCCCGGGTGGCCCTGCCCGCCGTGGGGGACAAGCCGGGCCCCAACCATCCGTCCCTCCCGCAGCCGACGAAGAGGCCCCTGACTACGGCTCCGGCGTGCGCCAGTCGGGAACCGCTAAGATCTCCTTTGACGACCAGCATTTTGAAAAGGTGCAGACCTCCCACCCAAGCCCCCAGCCTTGGGGTGCCAGATGCTCCCCGGTGCTCCCACCCCCGACCCGGGGTGCCCTCCTACCCCACAGCCCGGGTCCCCTGGGTCCCGAGCCCTGAGCCTGCCTGTCCCCTCCCTCGGTGTCTGACCTTCCCCATCTGCCTGGCCTGGGGGTCTGTCCCCTCCCACCACCCCGGGACTCCCACAGCAGGGCGCACCTGAGCTTCCGGAACAGACCCTAAGGTGCACCCGCCCCCACCTGGCCTCCCTCCTCTCGGGCTGGCTGTCCTCCGGGTCCCCACGGGACACCACGGTTCCACCCCCTGTGCCCGGCCTTTGCCACCCGGCAAGAACGAGCCAGCTCCCCTGAGGCCGCTGGCGAAGGTCCTCACGCGAGGGCAGCGCCATGTGCCGCGCCCAGGCCGGGCTCAGGCCCCTTCCTCTCCCCTTCCTGGACTCACTGTGACCCACCTGCACCCACCTGGAACCTCAGTGCCCGATGCACTGGGTGGGGGGAGGGGTGGCGAGTCCGCCCGGCACCCTCCCTCTCTTGGGGGACGCCAGGAGGGAGAGACTTACGGCCCCTTCCCCCAGGGGCGGAGGGGCTGGGACTGTCCAGGCAGGTGGGGCGGCAGGTCCTCGAGGCCCTGGCCCAGGCTTTGGCGGCTCAGCCCTACCTGGGGCTGTGATGTGGGCTGCGGGGGCCCCACCCTGGGCCACCCACTGTCCCCGCCCGTCTCTGACTCTGTTCGCCTGGCAGTTCCAGTCCGAGTCCTGCCCCGTGGGGGGGATGTCCCGCTCGGGGACCTCCCAGGAAGAGCTGCGCATCGTGGAGGGCCAGGGCCAGGGTGCGGACGCAGGGCCCTCGGCCGACGAAGTCAACAACAACACCTGCTCAGGTAGGTCGGCCACCCGCCCGGCCCCGCCCAGCCCCACCCCAGTGCTGGGAGAGCCTGGTCTAGAGGTGCCCTCGCTCCCCCGGCTCCCAGCAGCGGTGCCTCCGGAAGGAATCCTGGACAGCCCCGAGAAGGCCGCCCTGGACGGGCCCCCGGACGCCGGCCTGGACCACCTGCGGCTGGGCAGCACCTTCACCTTCCGCGTCACGGTGCTGCAGGCCTCCAGCATCTCCGCCGAGTACGCCGACATCTTCTGCCAGTTCAAGTGAGTCTGTCTGCCGCGCGGGGGCGGGGCTTCGGCCTGGGCGCTCGCTGGCCCAGCCTGCAGGGCGGCTGGAGGGGAGCCCACCGGTGCCACGTGTCTCCTGCTTGCTTCGCAGCTTCATCCACCGCCACGACGAGGCCTTCTCCACGGAGCCCCTGAAGAACACGGGCAGGGGACCCCCACTGGGCTTCTACCACGTGCAGAACGTACGTCCCTGGCCTTGTCCCTACTGCTCCCTCCCGGGGTCTCCCGGCTCCCCAGGCGTCGGCAGGGCTGGCCCTTGGCTGTGACCTCTGGTCACACAGCCTCCTCCCTCCGCCTGTCTTTGCTCTTCTCCACGAGGACCCCAGTCACAGTGGGCGGGGCCGCCCTAGTGACCTCACTGTCACGTGGTCACCTCTGCAGAGGCCCCATCCCGAGATACGGCCGAGTCCCGAGTCTGGGGTTGGGACTCAACACGTGAATTTGGGAGGGGTGCGCCCCATTTAACACGTCACTCCTGCTGAGTGGCCGAGGACCCAGGAAGGCTTGTCCTGCGGGGGCCACCTGCCCCTTGTCACTTTCTCCAGCACTGCCACCACACCTTGTCCAGCCCTGCCCCCGTCCCCTTGTCCAGCCCTGCCCCCCCTCACCTTGTCCAGCCCTGCCCCGTCACCCTTGTCCGCCTGCCCCCGTCTCGTTGTCAGCTCTGCCCCGTCACCTTGTCGCCTGGCCTCCTCCCTTGTCCGCCGTGCCCCCGTCACCTTGTCAACCGCCCCCTGCCCGTCACTTGTCCAGCCTGCCCCGTCACCTTGTCCAGCCCTGCCCGTCACCTTGTCCAGCCCTGCCCCCGTCACCTTGTCCAGCCTGCCCCGTCCACTTGCCACCTGCTCCCTTTAGCCCCCGTCACCTTGTCCAGCCCTGCCCCGTCATCTTGTCGCACCTGCCCCGTCACCTGGCCAGCCTGCCCCGTCAACCTTGGCCAGCTGCCCCCGTCACCTTGGCCAGCCCTGCCCCCGTCATCTTGTCCAGCCCTGCCCCCGTCACCTTGTCCAGCCCTGCCCCCCGTCACTTGTCAGCCCTGCCGTCACTGTGTCCAGCCTGCCCCCGTCATTGTCCAGCTCTGCTCCGTTACCTTTGTCCAGCCCTGGCCGTCACCTTGTCAGCCTGCCGTCACCTCGGCCAGCCTGCCCGGTCACTTTGGTCCGCCCTGCCCCTGTCACGCTGTCACAGCCTGCCCCGTACGTTGTCAGCCCTGTTCCAAAGGAAGCCCGGCAGTCCCCCCCTCTCACTCTGTCACGCCCTGCCCGGTCACCTTCCCTCCGTCAGCCCTGTCTCACCCCACGCGCCAGCCGGCGCCCTGTCGGCACCAACCCGGGGATGCGATAAACATCGCACTATGTGTCCGTCGGGGCTGGGCTGGCCGGAGCCGCGGGAAGGTCTCTGTCCCTGCCGTGGGCCAAGGGTAGGCCGGCTCACGCTGGGTGTGGCTCTCGTCCCCTGGCTGGTGGCCGCTGCGCCCTCCGGCCCGGCTCACGCGCCCGCACGCCCCCAGATCGCTGACTTTATGGAAATTCAAATTCCATAAGTAAGGTACAAGCATTTGTTTATGGCAGGTCAACCATTTTTAGGTGTGGAAGACGCAAAAGGTGACCAAGTCCTTCGTCGAGTACATCAAGAGCCAGCCATCGTGGGGTCATGACACCCCGGTCTTGGCTATCTACAGCTAGTCACCCGTTCCGCCGCGTGCAGGACAAGTAGCTCAGGTATGCGCCCGAGGGGCGGGGCGTCCTGCGTTCAGAGGTCGTCAGGCAGCGCGCTTTCCTCCCCGTCTGCCCAGGAGGCCCTTTTTTTTTTGAGTCAGAGGTCTCTTTGCCTGGGCTAGAGCCCGGGTGTCAGGCCTAGCACCAGCACTCAACTCCTGGCTCAAGGGAACCTCCTGCTCAGCCTACCGAGTAGCTGGGACTACAGGCATGCAGCCACCAGGCCTGGCTAACTTATTGGTATATATTTTAGCTGTCCAATATAATTCTTCTATTTTTATGTAGAGAACAGGTCTGGCTTTGCTCAGGCTGTCTCGAACCTCACTGACCTTGGCAGATCCTACCCGCCTCGCTCCCAAAGAACAGTGCTAGGATGACAGTGGTGAGCCACCGCACCGCACATTTGGCCCATAGGCGCCCTAATTGCCCAGGCCAGCGGGACTGGTGGAATTCTCAGCCATGGGCTGTCACCTGGCTCTGCCCGTCAGAACCAGGGAGGGGGTTCTCCCTGTCGGAACTTTGATCTGCTGCGGGGCACGGCTGTGTCAGGGGGTGCTGGCTGGAAGAGGGCCGAGGTGGCCCTGGACAAGTGGCTGCTGCCCCAGCGCGCGCTTGCTTCGGGAGGGGCAGCGGTGCCAGTAGCCTGTCGGGACGCCCTCAGCTCCCTCCCTCCACGTGGCGCTCAGAGGCCAAGGAGGCAATCGGCGGCTCCTGGACGCTTGGGCTCAAGGGGCTTGTGCGTGAGCCATTCTCTCTGGATGCTGGAAGGTGGGACGGGGGTGAATATCATTATATACATCACCTGCGCAGGCTGACCCTACCGGCACTCTGAGGAGTAGAAGGCACGCTTGTGGATCATTGGGCCCTGTGTAGGTGGTGGCTCTTCTCTCTCTATTCATCGCACCTGGCCAGGACTGCACGTCCCATGCGATTACCGAGGGTGTCTGGGGCCCTGGGGTCTCTTCCTCCCACCCCAGTGGTGGAGGACCTGGTGAGGGAGAGGGCGGGGGAGCCTCCTGGGCTGTCCCCCCCCACCGGCCGGGCTCCTGACCGTTCTCCGGTGCCTCACGCGGGTGCTCCCCTACAGCCTGGGCCCTCGCGCCGCACTTCCCCGGGCGGTCCAGGCGCTGTCAAGCCAGGTAGCTCTCATGGGTCCTCGGGTAGCGAGGCGCCAGGCTAGTGAGGTACAGGTGTGGGGTGGGTGGGGCTGGAGTCGTGCGACCGTGACCGGGTGGCCCCTAGTGCCCACCCTGCAAAGAGAGCGAGATCATAACTCATGATCTCGGGACCCCATGAAGGTGAAGTCTTACAGGTTGAGGACACCGGCCGGGTGTAGACCTGCTGACCAGGTCCCTGTGCCTGTGAGGTCCCTGTCACCCTGCTGACCACCTGCTGACCAGGTCCCTGTGCCTGTGAGGTCCCTGTCCCTGTGACCTGCTGACCACCCTGCTGACCAGGTCCCTGTGCCTGCGTGGGCTTCGTGGTTTGCAGCGTGTGTTCTGTGTTCAGCCGTCCCCACAGGCTGTGGGGAGACACTCAGGTCCACCTTTGAGGGACAGGCAGTGGAGGCTCCCAGGGGACTTGACAGAGGAGGGTGGAGGTGGGTGAGGGATGCGCTGGGGACAGGCTGTTTGTCGGGAGCTGGACATGAGGGGAGGCCAGTGGGAGCTGAGGGCAGGGTCTGTCGGGCTGGTGTGGGAGCCAGTGAGATGTGCTTGGACCGGTGCCATAGGCTGTGGCCAAAGTGTGGTGCAGGGCACAGGCCGAGCAGCACGGCAGAGGGCCCCGTGCAGGGCGTGGAGCCTTGGAGCAAGGGCGTCTGCTGCCTTGCTGGGTCTGCAGTCCCAGCCACTGCTGTCTGCAAGGGCTGTGCCCAGGTGTGTGCGTGGCCCACCTGCTCCTCCCACCTGGGGCCAGGAGAGAGAGACAGTCCGGTGCAAAGTGCTGCGGCCGGACACTGCCCGGCACCGGGAGCATCCTGGGCCGGGGTGGGCTGGGCTGGGGATGGGGAGGTGGCCTCACTGCCTGTGAGCCCCTGCCACCCGCCCGTGGCCGCCTCCCTGAGCGTGTCCTCAGTGTGTGAGGGGCAGCTCTCCCGTCAGTGCCCGCCCCCTCTGTCCCCGCAGTGCCCGCCACTAAGCTCAGCACGCTGACGCGGCCCTCCCCGGGGCCCTGCCACTGCAAGTACGACCTGTTGGTCTACTTCGAGATCTGTGAGCTGGAGGCCAACGGAGAGTGAGTGTGGCCAGCTGGGGCCCGGGCGGGGGAGGGGAGAGCCCTGGGCTGGGGTCCCCAGGGGCGTGGGCGTGGGGGCGGGGTGAGGTGCTGACCTGCCCGTGGGTTGCCGGCACCTAGAGTCCTCCTCTCGGCATGTTCACTGAGCACCACGGGCAGGGCCAGGCCTCGTCTCGGGCTGGGGAGCCCGACAGGCGAAGCCCCTGTTCTGGGGGAGCTGACACGGGGGCTCAAGGCTGCCAGGGCTGAGACAGCAGGCCCGGGGGGCGGCGCGGGGGCCAGGGCTGAGACGGCAGGCCCGGGGCGCGGTGTGGGGGCCGGGCCCGGGGGGCAGTGCGGCGACCAGGGCTGGAGTTGGCAGGTGTGGCAGTCAAGTGACACGGGACTTCTGCAGCAGAGCCCAGAGGGTTGGTGGAGTGGCAGCCCAGTGGCCTCGGAGGCGCGGTGAGGGGCGCCTGCTCGGGTGCAGGGGGAGTGTGGGGGGTGGGCGAGGGCCTGCATCCGTAGCAGTGGGACTGAGGGCTCAGGGTGGGGAGGCACAGACCGCGGTCCTTGCCCTGGGTGGGACGGGCCTCGCCGACTGCAGCCCATCCTGGCTTGTGGATCTGCAGGGGTGAGGGCACCTGACGCACCCTTGGGTGCTGTTGCAGAGGGCTGGGCCTCCCTAAACCATCGCCCCACCCCCCGCGGGAGGCCCTTGCAGCACAGGGCTGGGGGAGCAGCGTGGCTAGTCAGCGCATGGCGGCGGGTCTCCTGCAGCGGAGCGGCCGACATCTGTCTCCGCCGCCCACGCCTCTGGGCCGGCCCGGCGCAGCATGGGCAGAGGCGCCGGTGCCTCACGCGGGTCTCTCTCTTCAGTTACATCGCCGGCGTGGTGACCACCGGTGGCATGCCTGCGATGGGCCTCCTCCTCCACCAGGGCAAAGCCACCCGCCTACCGCGCCCTCCCACTCACCCTCCCACCTCGCCTCTCCCCACCGCGGCCTCCGCCAACGACGCCCCACCCTCACGCCCTCCCACCCTGCGTGCCAACTGTCTGACCACCTCCCCACCCCTGCGCCCCTCCCACCACCTGCGGCCTCTCCGCCTCCCCCCGCGTGCCAACTCTGACACGCCTCCCCACCACCCTTGCGGGCCAGCCGTCTGGCCAGCCTCAACCCATGCGTGCCCAAGCGTCGACACGCACCTCAAACCCACCTGCGGTGCCCAAGCGTCTGGCAGCCCTTGGCCCCACTGCCGTGGCCCAAGCCGCTGCTCCTCTCTCGGCGCTGGCAGGGCATCCAGAGACGGATAACGGTGACCCTGCTGCACGAGACGGGCAGCCACATCCGCTGGAAGGAAGTGCGGGAGCTGGTCGTGGGTGAGCGAGGCGGGCGGCTGCCTTGGGTCGGAGGGGCTGGGCCGGCGGGAGAGCAGGGAGTCCCAGCCAGGCGTCCAAGTTGCTGCGTGACGCTGGCTAAGCCAGGAAACCTCTCTGTGCCTCAGTCCCTCACCTGAAAAGGAGCACCTGGGACCAGGCGACGGCTCACAGATGTCCCTGCTCGGGAGTTCTAGGGCCGCGCTGACCAAATGCCACCCCCGGGTGGCTTGGGACAGCAGAGGTCGGTCACCCCGCGGTTCCGGAGGCAGCAGCCTGACATTGGGGCGCGCTCTCCGAGAGCCGTGCGGGAAAACGCTCCCTTGCCGCTTCTAGCTCGCGTGGTGGCCGGCAGTCTTGGTGCTCCCGGGCAGACACGTGTTTCGTGTTCACGTGGGCGCCGGGACACCAGGCAGCGTGTGTCAGGCCCGGCCTGCTCCAGCGTGACGCCCACTGGGCTCAGCTCGGTCACTCCGAGACGCTGGGGTTGGCACTTAGCGGGTCTTTGTGGGGACACAGTTCGGCCGTAGCCACCAGGAGGACCTTGGGTTTCACCCCGTGAGCTCCGTGGTCTGCCAAGTGTGCTTTGCTGGGCTGCAAAGGATGTGTCCTCCGACTTTCACTCAAGGACACAGACAGTCATCCATTCGTGTGCGTGCAGCCAGCGTGAGACCCCTGACCCTGCCCTGGAGTGGTGGGTGCCGGGGCCGCCTGGCCAGGTAGCCGTGTGAGGCAGCTTCCCCAGGGCGTGGCCTGTCACCCCGTGTCCGACGTGCAGGATGGTGAGCCAGGAGGCTCCGGGACACCAGGACAAACGCTACCGTCTCGCGAGTTTCGCCTCTGATCTGATGCCAATCAGAACAGGCAGGCGGACCCCCTTCCGGTGTCGTTTAGGGCAAACCTGGAAACAGAGAACCGGCCTGAAGGCGGCGTCTACGGCTGCCTGCGGACCTGGCCACGCCGCGGGAGGAGGGTGTCCGTGGGCAGTAGCGCTGTGGCACATGCTGGCGTCCGGGTCTCAGCACGCTCAGCCCACGGGAGGGAATGGGGTCCCCACGGCAGAGAGGCTGCAGGCCGGGGGTCCATCCTCACTCAGCCGTCCCGCTCGATATGCACTGGTCCCACGACCCCTCCTTCACCCTCCTCCCTTTCCGAAAATGCCAGCAGGGGTGTCTGTCTGTGTTGGGGGCACAGGGGTGCTGCTAGGAGGAATTTGGGGGTGCTGGGGTGAACGCCGAGCCCCCGTGAGGCTGAGGGGCTTGAGCTCTGCCTCTGGGCTTCCGCTTGGACTCAGCTCACAGAGCAGCCCCGTCACTTTCTGGGGGGGCAGCTGGCTTCTTCCCCCACCCTGAACGCCGGGCTCCATGCTCACAGCCTTCCCCGAGCACGGCGCCCCTCCCTGGGGGGCCCTGGGACTTCCAGGCCCGGTGAGATGGACAGTGCCGTGGGGAGGGCGTCCGCAAACGGTGTCAGTGGCAGGTGGGAGAGGATGGAGGTGTGGACGGCAGAGGGACAGGACCCGGGCCCCGCCCCCGCCGCCGTCTCTGCGGCTCTCGAGTGTGGTCCGTGGGCGGGTGCTGGTCAGACTGCAGCAGGCTCAGAACTGCCTCCTGCGTGGACCTGCAGGGCCCTGGGTGGAGAAGGGGCGCTTTGCCGGGACCTGCCCCCGCCTGCCCCCTCCCGGAGCCTAAATGCTGCAAAGCTGCAACGTCACGTGTCAGATTTCCAGGGAGGGGGCAGGGGGAGGGCCCAGCACAAAGCCCCAGCTGCGTCCTGGGTTTGGTTCTGTCTCCGAGCATGGTGCAAGAGACATCATTGCCTCCACTTAACAGAAAACGTGCCCATGGCTGTGTGCTCCTTCGAGGGAGCAGAATGTCCCGCTCCAGGCTAAGCAGGTGTTATCAGGCACAGCCACCAGGTGAGGTTCCTCCTCCCAGAGCTGCGTGCCTCCTGCACAGCCAACCAACAGACCACCGGCCCGAACACAGGCGTCTTAGAGGGGCCTGCAGGAAACACCCGTCGCAAGGAGAGATTTTACGGCTTGTCTGTCTTTTTCCGTCTCTCCTTCCGTCTCTGTTTCTCTCTCTCGTTCTCATCATTGTTAAGTGTGAAAAGCTGGAACATTCTCTCTGGTCGTGCCTAGATTTCCTCCCCAGCAGTCAGGAGGCCCGTTGGTTCCGGGCTGCAGGTGGACCTGTCAGGTGGGGGCGTGGGGGCGTCCACTGCGGCCAAGAGGCAGAGCTTAGGCTGTAGGGAGGACAGGAGAGCAGTGACGGCAAACGGTTCCCGGGTCGCAGAACGCCCCGCGAGGGCCTCCCTGCCCACGCGGCACCACCTCTGACCAGACGCCGCCCCGGCCACAGGGTAGCTGGTTCGCTGGCGCAACCTCCGCCCGGCTGAGGCTGCCGGTGGGACTGGTGTCCCCTGACCCCGGGAAGCGTCCCCTGCACCCCCAGGGAAGTGACACTTGGTCCACTGCCTCTCCCGCAGGTCGCATCCGGAACACTCCAGAGACTGACGAGTCCCTGATCGACCCCAACATCTTGTCTCTCAACATCCTGTCTTCCGGATACATCCACCCGGCCCAGGATGACCGGTGAGTCCCTGAGGGTGGCGGCAGGTTCTGCTCCTGACTCCCGGAGACGGGCCCCGGTCGGCGCCCAGGCTGTTCCCGGCCGGCCAGGCAGACTCGGCACTTGGTCCAGCCGTGGCCGGTCCAGCCCCAAGCTCCCCCACCCCCTTTTGGACACCTAAAGGAACTGGCCCGATGAGGGGCGCTGGTGGCCTCCATGTCCCCCCCCGCCCTCCCCTGCGCTCACTTCTCTGTGCTTCTGCGTGGCCGGCCAGGTACCCACCTGCCCGTTGGCCCCTGCCCCGGCAGAGGGGCCAGCACGGCCCTGGAGGACGAGCTGTCCTGTCCTGGGAGTCGCGTGGGCAGTGGTGCGTGGACAGGCGGGCCACGCTGCGGTGGGCGAGGCTGGGGCCCTGGCGGGGTCTGGGGCCAGCGGTCCCGCAGCCCAGGGTGGAGGCGTGCCCACGGGCACCGCCACGCACGTGGCGCCCATCCCTGGGCAGCTCCTCTCCAAGCTCCCTGGCGCAGCGAGATGCGCTCAGCCTGGACGGCGGCGTTCGAGGCCCTGGGGACGCCCTCGGCAGCCCTGCTGGGCTCTGCTGGTGGACAGGACAAGGGGGAGGTGGCACCTGAGGCTGGTCAGGCGCCCTGCTGGGGGGTCGTCCTGCGTCTGACATGCAGCCTGAGACGGGTCCTGGTGACCCCCGAGGGCTTGACCCGGCCCCTGGCACAGAAGCCGACCCTCAGGGCTGGGGCTGCAGGGGTCCCTGGCTCACGGAGGCTGAGCATGCGGGAGGAACGCTGAGGGCTACATGTGCTTGCAGAGGGGCGGGGGCCCTGTCCCGGCGAGGAGGGTCGGGTCGGTAGGAAGGAGGGTCCCGGGGCAGCCGTCTGTTCTTCCCACCTCGGGTCCAGGCGGCTCAGTTTCTTGCTGGGCTCCCGGAGAGCGGGCTGTGGGCTGATCCCTCAGCTCCGGAGTGGCATGGGCATCAGGCGGAGTGGCGCTGGGAGCAGGTGGGGTGGGCACCTGGGTGGTGGCGGGTCGGGCAGAGGCCCCCAGGGGGCAGATGAGGCTCTGGTCCCGCCCTGCCCTGGAGGTGGTGCCGTGAGAAGCAGTCTGGGGGTGGCCTGTGGGAGAAGGGGAAGGTGAGGCAGAGGGTGGGGTGAGGTGGCTTCCCCTGTCGCCATGAGAACGCTCCCTGGTGGGCATGGAGAAGGCCTGGCACCCCACGCGGGTGCTGCCTGCAGGGTTTGGGCCGCTGTGCCAGGGCTGTGGGGACGAGGACCCCAAGGGGCGGGTGGGGGCCAGGAGGGCTGGTCTGCCCCGTGAGCAGTGCCTCAGAGCCTGGGAGATGACTTTATTCCCCTGACCTCTGACCCTTCCCTTGCCCAGGCAACTCCTGGGTTCTTGGGGCAGAAGGGGAGTTGTGGGGTGAAGCAGCAGGGCAGATGGGTGGGTGCCCCCGCCTGCTGCCCCCCTGCACTGAGGGCTGTGCTCTGGCGTCTTCCTGCCCATGCTGGCCAGCCCGGTCACTCACCTAGCAGGCGGCAGCTTGTGGCTGGACTTCAGGCAGGTTCACCTGCTCCTTGGGGCCTAGGAGCCCGTTGCCGAAGGTGCTTCGGTCCTGCATCCTGGGGGGCCGTGTGACGTGAGGCTAGTCCCGGGGCAGCCCTGTGCCCGGGGTCACGGCCCTGGACCCAAGGACAGAGGAAAGCCTGTCCACGGGCAGCTGGCAGACCTTGCCCACCGCTGCTTTGGCCCTCGCTTGGCTGTGCCCGTGCTGGCCACCCGCCCTGCCCTGCCCTCCCCGCACCAAGGGTCTCCGGGACCCTCCTCGGCTGACCCAGGCCGGCACCCTCCTGTGCTTGGCTGACCGCCTGGTGGCCACTGCCACAGCCGTCCTCTGCCCTGGATGGGGGCTGGCGTCATGGCGCTGAGGCTCTGGACGCCTGTCTGTCTGCGGCCACCGTGCCCGGGCTCCCCGCGCTTGGCCTCAGCGTCAGCCTCCCCGCCCCGCTCGGGGCCCCCCACGCTTTGCCCCGCCGCTCAGAGCAGGCCCGTGGGCCGCCGGGCGGCTTTCCTCTGCGCTGCCCCGCTCCCCGCTGCCGCCCCCGCCCTCACTAACGTGTGGTTGTTTGTGTTTTGCAGGCAGTTTCTTGATTCGGACATACCTAGGTACCATTTGTGTCCCTTGGTTTCATTTCAGCCTCTTCTCTCCTTCCCGCCTCCCTCCCCGATCGCCCCCCAAGCCCTGCCCCCCTCACACCCTGAAAGTTTAATTTCCAGCGTTTTGTTCTCCTCCTCCACCCGCTCACCTCCTCCCTCTGTTCCTCACCTCCTCTCTGTTCCTCGTCTCCCTCCTATTTTCATCTCCTTGGAATATCGTTCCGACCCCTCCGCTGCTCTCCCGCCCCGTCCTCTTGGCTGAGTCCCTCGCCCACCCTGGTTTTGGCTGCTTCTGTAGCTTCCTGCCCCCCTCCGTAGACTCTGGCTGGCCTCCCACCCCTCCCGCCCTCGAGCCTTGCCCGCCCCGCGCCCGGGTCCCTGCGCAGCACCTCCCTGCATGCAGGCTGGCCGGCCGCTGGCTTTGGCCGCACTCACCCTCCCGTGAGGACCAGCCCCACCCCTGCGAGGGCCATAGTGGGCAGAGCCGTGAGCACAGGGGACGGGGTGGGGCAGACAGGAGCTGGAAGCCAGGACACTCACGCTCCGGCATGTTCCACAACTGCGTGGGAGCCCTCACCTGGCCGGACCGGTGGGAGGGGCGGCGGCGGCTCCAGCCACACTCCCTGGCACGGGCACCGCACCTCCCTTTTGGGAGTGGCAGGTGGTGGCAAATTCACGAAGAGACTGGGTGCTTGGGTTTAGGTGGCCAAGGGTTCCAGCCTGGCAGGCGCAGGCCCCTGCCCACGCCGGCCGGGGGCAACAGGTTGGGGAGGCCCTGGGCAGGGGAGGCCACCAGGTATCCGAGCCGGGCTTTGGTGAGAAGTCAAGTCAGTTCCGAATGGAAAGCCAAGGCCGGCCCCTCCTGGGTCCCTGTAGCATTGTGGCCAGAGCTTTGTGGTGGTCATCTCGCAGGTCAGCTGTTTTGAAAAGAACTGAGGCCTCTCAGGGCCACCGTGTGAGCCTTTAAGCTGTGTCACCAGGAGTGTGAGTGGCAGCCCTGGCTGGACGGGCAGGGGGCTCGGCCAGGACTTTCTGAGGCAAGTCCTTGTCAGGTCAGGCAGGTAGTGCTGTGACTGTGGCGTGGCCACCGTGCCTGAGGCCCCACTGTGGCCAAGAGGAGACCCCGCCGTGGGCAGCGGGTCAGTGGTGCAGGTTGGCGAGCTCCCCAGGCGTGCACGCACACGCACACGCACACACACATGCACTGCTTCCCAGGGACACGGCTGTTCCAAAGGCGGCTGCAGGCCAGGAGCTGCACTGGCCTCCCAGGGCTCAGCTGGGCGGCAGAGGTGTCACTGGACACCCTGGTGGTGGCTGCCCCCGAGGGGGGGCACAGCCCTGCAGGGCTGTCACTCGGAGCGGGCTTGCAGGAGGGCATCCTGCGCTGGTCCTGGGGGCGAGCCGGCCCCTCTGCTCAGTTCCTCCCAGAGGGCAGTTTCCCGGGCCCGTCAGTGTGGCCTCGTGCTGGGAGTGTGTTCGTATTTTGTTCAAGTTTGCGTCTGTCCGGCGTGTGAGTTCACAGCCTCTGTGTGTTTGGGGGTATCGGCGGGTGCCAGGCACCCCAGGCACACGCGGTGGCTCCAGCAGGGCTGTGCTAGAGCAGGCACGGCAGCACAGGGAAGGAAGCAGGGGCTGCCCCGCCCCACCCCGTGGCAGCCCCGGGTTTAAGGGCCCTTCCCCTCCCCCTACTCAAGAGGGGCGAGCCCGCCGTGGCGGGGCCGGGTGCCTGATCCAGAATGTCCGGGTCGGCCCCAGCGGGCAGCAGGCCCGGGCTCGGCCCCCAGGAGGAGGCCTTGAGCTCGGGGCGTGGAGAGGGGAGGAGCGGGTGGGGTCCGATCCCCAGTTCCAGGGCGGGCAGCACTGCGCAGGCGCGGGGAGCTCACCCCAGACGTCTGCAGGCCGCGGACCTGGCCCTGCGGGCCCGCCGGGGGGCAGCTCTGGCTCTGTGGCCGGGACTGAGCGTGATGCTGCGGCCTAGACTGGTCCCGGTGGCAATGGTGGACGGAGGACGTGGACACCTTCCGCGAACCCTGTTTTCCCTCCCTCTCCGAGCCCCATGGGCACTGACGGCGGCCGCTGCGTCAAGGTCGTGTGGCGATTGAAACGAGACGACACGTGGCGGCTCTCCGCGCGGCCTGGCCCGATCGCCCTGCGCGTGGTGGCAGCCGGCGCCTGCCCGGGACGGTGGATCAGGCCGCGGCTGCGGTGGCCGCTCTCGTGCACGCGCGGCGCGCCGGGCCCCGCCGTGTGTGCGCCGTGCGCACAGCCTGCCCGCGGGCGGGGCGCGCGCGGGCCGCGTGTGGTGCTGTGACCCCGCCCTGAGCGGGGCCTGTCCTGCCGCGCGCGTCTCGCGGTCTCCCCGGGCCGCAGTTTCCCGCGTTCTGTGCGTCCATGCCGTGCTATTTGTGGGGCACGAACACCCGCTCGTTTATTCGTTCGTCCGCCACGTAGAATTCAGCCCTGTGGGATGGAAGACGAGTTTCTGGAAAATTCTGTCCCGCAGAAGGGAGGCCCGCGCTGGCAGGCAAGCGCGTTCACCCCTGGCTCCCTCTCTCCTCCCCTCACCGTCATCCCCCTTCCGCTCACTCCGGCCCCGCTGTACGCCCTCTCTCACCCCCTCCCCTCTCCCCTTACTCCTCACCCCTTTCCCGCCCTCCTGCCCGGCTCACTCCTCGACCCCTCCCCTCACCTCCTCACCTCACCTCGGCCTCCCCTCCTCCTCCGGCCTGGCCTCCTCCCTCACCTCCTCACGCGCTCCCCTCACCTCCTCACCGCCTCCCTCTCCCTTCACCTCCTCACCCCTCACCTCCTCACCCCTCCCACTCACCTCCTCACCTCCCCTCCCCTTCCTTGCCCC